AGACACGCACAAAACAGGTTAAATACACACAGTAAATAAAAGGCTGTGGGTGTGATTACAGAGCGTGCAAGTGCTTGTTTAGAAGTGTGAAATGAAGAGCAGCGAGCCCCCAGACACATATTAGTGCAGTTTGTAGGACTGTGTCTAAAGCCCTCATTCCTCTCACTGATAAGACCAAGATGAGATGGATTTCCTGTCCGTTCACTTGCGTCTTGGAAGAAATAAATAAACTAAAACGCTGTTGGACTGGTCCAGGGTGAGTGAAGCTCAGACTAGGAAAAATGATGCAAAGCTGGCGAAAGGCTGCTTTGAATCGTTTTCCCTGAAAATCAGAGGAAAACGATTTGTTCTTTGACCTGCAGACTGATTCTGTGAGATCAATGTGAAAGCAGAACAGAAGTGATGGACATATAATTGCATGAGAACGTGGATAAGTAAAAGGGAGGAAGTGGGCCGTCACCACACAGTACACACAATATGAGAACCGCCTTCAAATATGGGCCCATCATGGCAAGGCAAGGCAAATTCATCTGTATAGCACAGTACATGCACATACACAACTCAATGTGCTTGACAAAACAAGACATACACACACACTCATTACATTCAGATACATTGTACATGTCTTGCAACCTACGCAGATACAGGGAGAACATGCAAACTCCAAACAGAAAAGCCTCTTAGCTCCTGCTTTGTCCAACCCTTATTACTATTATCATTTATCTTTTTCACATTTATTTACAGAAGCATTAAAATGATAATTTCATCAATTAGATATATATTCAGTCCATTTCAAATATGCGTCGAGCTGCCCATTTCTGAGTTGTGTTTGGACAGCTACAGTAAAGAGTGTTATTGGAGACTATGTACAGGATTGTTGTAGTTGGGCAAACCAGAGTAAAACAGAATCTACACATACTATCGGAAAATAGATAGGTCTGGCAGGTAAGGCACCAACATCTATTGCAGCTTTTCTTGCAGCAGCTAATAGTCTTTTAAAATAAAGCTTGCAACTGTTGTGACTTGGAAGTATTTATATATGATATGATTCTCTTTGTTCTTATTTATGTTAATGTTCCATCTGCTGCAAGATAAATCTGATTTTTATTATTACGATAAAGCCAGTACATTATTCACTGTGCTGTTGGCAGAGATACTTGGGGTCAAAGAGCAGAGCATGGGTTGTGCAGATTTATCAAACAAATATCAAAAAGAAACAATGGCAGTATGTGCATTTAAATCATAGTGCTTTGAGAAATTATCTTAAATATGAAATGGCCTCACCCTGAAGTGATGCATTTGGGTCAGTCACAGAAATAATACTGAGCTAATCCATTCAAAGCTTATAGCTCCTGATACCGTCCTTATCTGAGGAGAAATCCGTTTTATGGAGATATATGGCTTTAATACTCATGTAATATTCATGCCAACCAGAATGTTAACAGAATAAGATATCAAACACATGGTCCATAGGTGGATGCTGAATAAAATTGAGTTGAGATAGTATTTCAGGGGGATTTTGTAAAAGGTTTCTCCTGATGTGAATTTATATAGTCTGACTTTAGTCGTTCATTGACACTACTTCATTGGATTAGCGTTAATAAGGCTGTGAGAAAAAAGTAAACAAGTAAACTTATGTTGAATAGCCGGATTCCTCACCTACTTAAATTTTAAGGGTGATAACACGTTTAGTTTTAAGTTTATATTTGTACGTGTTCGACCCCAGATTTTAAGAGGGGGCATCAAGACGCATTTACTGTCTATCATGGTGCACTTACTGTCCATCTCAAGATTGCTATAGAAAAACTGTTCAGAACATTTTCTACGCTGATGGACCCCTCACCAGAAAATATCTACAAAACAATTTGAGCACTGAAGACACAACAATTTTTTTTTTTAAATGCACGATACTGAACACTACAGCCACAAGGTGAAAACATTTTTTTTTTTTCACATAAATAGTTTAATTCTGGATAATGAGATGATTATATTATAAACCCAAGCACTGTGACTGGTGTGTTTCTTTTTGGATTGATTGGATTGAAGCGTTTCTACTGCAGTTGATCTGTGTAGCCACGTAATTGGAAATAGTAATAGTATAGAGACATGGCCAGCAGAGGCACTAAAGAGCGCAGGAATATGTCATGCTCATTTCCTCACTGCAATGAACCATACAGTCCCTTGCTGTTTGGTACATATAATTGCTGCAGCAGTTGAGCGAGTTTGAAAATGTAAAGAAAAATAATAATAATTTGGCTGACAGTTTTAGCCTGAAAATAAAACAAATTGATGCAACAATGTTTAGCTCTGTGACTATATAAGAGCTTGTTACGCCCCCGGGGGTACGTCTTTTCCCCTCCTAACATGAGTCTCTTTCAGCTCCGCCCTGATTGGCTGGCGGCCTGCTCAAAGGCAGCAGGTGTCCTGATGGCGCCCTCTCTCTCCCTCCAGCCCTCTGACACACTGGTCCCAATCACGTCCTGGGACAGACGTGTCAGGCCACGCCACTTGTTCTTTGTATGATTTGATATTAGACGCACTTGCACCAAACACGTACATTTACACAAAGGTTGTCATACTGACTATCATTCGCACCACACGCACCTCAGCCCATTTCTCACTTACAGAACATAACAGTAACAAATTCCCATTCAACACTCTTACCTACACATAAGGTTCTCCAACTGATAATACTTGCATTACACGCAGCCACTCATATTACACTTACACTGATCGCAGTATTATTAAAATTATTATTATTTATCAATAAATGCCAACCATGGCTTATAATCTGGTTCTTGTGTTGTTCCCCCTTTTTCTTTGCTGCAGCCACAGAGCAGGGCTGAAACAAAGCGGTTATACAGTCATTACATATTATGAAAATATTTGGATTATATGGCGTTCCTACAAGTTCTAAAGAAAATATGCATTTCTACCTCCTGATGCATACGCAATTCTTCACAATTCCATTTAGAGATGTAATATAAATTGAGTTACTATTAAGAACAGATATAGCTATGCAGCGCAATTGGTTCAAAACATCAAATGACTTCTAAACTCCAAAAAGAGAACAATGAGCTGTGAAGGAAGTGGAAAGCCTTGAACAGAGCCAGCCAAACACAGGCAAAAACACACATAAATCTCACTTCACTCAAATGGACAAAGTGTTGTGTGTTTTTGTATGACTCTGCCTATTTGATACAACGGCATTTGAACAGATACGAGGGAGGGGAGACACAATACCTTTAGGAAGATAAAACAATTAAATTCTTGTTGGCCATTTCTATTTTTTTTGCTACAAGTTTATTTTTTACTATGGCTAAATGTATTATACTACAGGAAAAACAAAGTGTCTAGGCACTAAATAATTGAATGCATGCTGTTAATATATTATATAATTCATCAAAATAAATGCACATGCTGATTATTTCTGTTGTGAAAATCCATATGTATAATTTATGACAAATAAAAGCTTGCGACCCCAGATTTAATTGCAACAATATAATGATGGCAATATCTGTGAGTCGAGAGCCTACATCCTCCATCTTCCTCAGTCACAGATGGCTCCATACAGCAGGTGCACGGGCCACTTGTCACCTCTTTACCGCTCCCTCCATCTTGATTGGCCTTTTGCCTTCACCCTCCGATCGCCTGCATCCATCTCGCCTTTAAACCTCCAACTGAGATTCCTTAGTCTTTCACACCTCCCCCTTTTCTGTAGGTGGACTAGTGACATTTATCAACTCACTCTCTCACACTCTCTCCCTCTGGACAAGTGGTATTTGCTCCTTCCATCCCTCCATTTCTCTCATCCCCTCTTTCCACTTTCTCTTTTTGGAAACACGTCACTGATGTGTGCGCGGCAGGAGATAAATAGGGGTTTGTGAAAATGCCAAACTTAATTCCGGATACAAGTGTCGAGTTCCCGTGACTTTCTGGTTTCTGCTCGGGCCGTTTCCAGTGTGCATGTGCAATTACGCATTGTTAGTCAAAAATCTCTAATAAACTGCAAGGTTAAAATGTTTGTCTTTCAATCACGGCCCATAGTTCTTTCCAGGTCTGTAATCACAAAATGGAGAAATAATAGATTTGATGGGAGGTTTAAATAATGTAATAATAGAATCTAGTGGATTTTTCTGTGGTCAAGCAGAGCTGAACTGTACTGTAAATGTGAGCTGCTAAATTATTCTAATTGATCAGAAAACAGTACAGAACTGTGGTGTTTATGTTCAAGGGATGTAGTTTGACTTATGAAGACTTTTCCCATGCGACAGCCAGACCTAGACCCGAACCAAGACATAACTTGGCACCCTTAAACTGTAAGCGATTAAGGATTAGTAAAATCCATAACAGAAATAAATACAAAAAATGCTATGGAATCTTTGGAGGAAGCCAGGTTTATGAATATAATACAATATGATAATTTATAATGATAATATAATTCAAAATATATAATATATTAATGGTATAAAACTTTGGAGCTTAAAGGGTTGACTTCTTAAAAAAAAAAACAACATTAAATAATTGTGGCTTTTTGACGCATTGGAGAGAAATACTTGGACATCTGTAAATAAGACAATAACAAAGAAACAAACATCTGTGCTGCAGTAACTTGTGTGACAAACGGTGGGCGAAGAGCTCATAATCTTAGGAAACATTTATCACTCGCCCACTCGGTCAGATGACCAAATGCATCTATTAGTCGCCCCTGACAGACTGCGAAGTGCACTCAAGTTCGATGACTACATAAAGTGCTATTTGACTCACAACCTAATCACCGCCAGATGAAGACTCTGGAATCTAAATCCGTTTCCTCAAAGCATCATACAAAGAAAAAGCAAGCAGTTTGTTCAGCGGAAAAAATACTAAAAATAATTTCTTTTACGACTGTTGACACTTTGTTCGCAGTGGAAGCGGAAACAAGCCGAGAGGCACTCAAGCTGATGTTAAGTGAGCCGCGGTCTTGAGAGGAGTCATAAATTACACATATGTAACAGAGACTGCACGGCTATAAATAACTCCAGTGTCTGTAGAATGACGTCTCTTGTGTACAATAGATTCTTCTTATCGAGTAGTGTGAAAAAACATTGCAACTAAAAAAAACAAAATCGACCTTTTGTGCACAAGACCAATTATAATCAAAGATGCATAGATCAAGATTTATAAAAAAAAAAACAGATCAAAAAGGCAATACAAATAAATCAATCAGCAAACAGTTCAGCCTAAAAATCCCAAAAAAATAGTACACACTGGTCCCTTGTTTATTGCAGCGGTTGTATTCTAAAAAATAAACCACAATACTCTTACTTTAAACGCCTTTCGATATATACATTTTTCAATCATAAAAAAAAATGTCTTCACAAAGTATGTTTTCACAGTGTAGAGTGTATTTGCCCTCGATAGTCAATATCTAAAGAAAAATGGCCCTAATTTGAAGCGTGTCCAAGGACCCTACAGCGCCCATATCTTACATATGGGAATATCCCACAAAAACTTGAAGGTGACACTAGATGATGACTTGAAGAGACCTCTAAAACTTTCTTAATTAGCTGCATAAGACATCACTCACTATGCAGCACATTCTGAATTCTCTACCACAGATTTTCAACCTAATATAGATGTTGGTTTATGCCAAGCACCCAACACGTACACAGGCAAGTGTGCAGACGAGCAGATGGTAACAAAGATAAGAGACTGTACTAACAATGAAACTCAACTCTACACCGCTGTTTATTTTACATTTAATGGCCATAATTTGAAACTCCGTCTGACACACCATCAATCCTCGCACTTACGCAAAGACAGATTGAGAAAATTAACAAAAACTTTCCAACAACCACTGGAACATAACTGTCATTCAGAAACTTTTCACAATCGCTCAGGAAACTTGTTGACAAGAAAACGCAGCTGCAGACAATAACCAAAGTCCAATCCTACCTTGACCCCCCGGACTCGGAACTCAGCCAGGGCTCTGCTCATCTTTGAGGCGGCAGTGTTCAGGTCTTTCCCGCTGGCGATGACTTTGACGAGGAGCGAGTCGTAGTGAGGAGAGATGACCGCTCCCTGGAAGGCCGACGCGCTGTCCAGACGGATGCCCATGCCTTCGCCGCTCCTGAAGACCTAAGAGACAAAGGGAAGACTGGGTTAAGAGCGATCGTTTGTGCTGAAGTAAGATGTAGACAATTGTTTGGGATATTTTTCTATTTTATCAGGAGGGTGCCATGTCCAGAGCGTGGCCCTTCTCATACTCATACTCTGTCCTGACTTAAGCAGAATCGGTTGGATAGACGCCAACCAACCCCCCTCTCCTCAATCTTGATCATTCCTTTCTGTGTGGAGTTTACATGTCTCTGGGTTTCTTCAGTTTCCCCCTCAATCCAAAACATTGCACTGTAGAGTTCCCCACTGCATTTTTTTTCCTATCTTGCCTTAACACAAGATTTCACTTCACTCCAATTCAATGTGATAATTTGAAAGTATTTTGTTGGCCTCATTGAAAAATTCAGTCAAAGAAAGTCAGATGTATAATTATGCTCCTTTTTTACGTTTTTAATTTGCTTTGATAAATGTGTCCTCTGTTTCTCTAAAATGTAGCCTATCATGGTCTGTGTCAGGACAAGAATTGCTGACTCCTATCATCTACAATTACCGGTCATGCACTTTGTCAAAATTATGCATTCATTAGAAGCATTATTATTTGACTCTGCTTGTTCTAGCAACCTCAGAGGGTGCGAGATATTAGTTTTCAAGAACTGCCCCCGCACTCATAATTAAAATAAAACAATAGAGCATCTTGACAGTTTTGAACATCTCTAACCTTTCTTTTGAGTCAATACAATCCCTTTCTTAGCAGCTAATCGGAGGATTTAGAACTGACATCTCGCGCCAGATCTAACCTGGTGCAGAACAATGACCACGGGGAGCAGAGGATGGCGGAGGAGGATGAGAGGAGAGCTAACGAGGGAGGAAATGAAAGGGTGGATTCCTCTGAAGCACTTGGCACGAGAGCAGAAGACTTGTGTGCGAGGGAGAGCGCCCAACACCAAAACATATGGAGCCCCCGAAGGCACAAGCAGGAGCCGAGTCCAAAGTATAATCATTACAGTGATGCGCTACCAAGACACAAGGCTAAATTATGAAGACAAGTGTGAAGTAAATGACATTAAGATGATCCAACTGGTTACTAGTGAAAGACATAATATATATAATAGCCAACGGCGATGAGCAATCAGTGTGTGAGTAAATAAGTAGGTAAGTGATTCATTCATCATTATTTCATTCATTCTGGCATGAACAAACCAATTACCTATAGATTTATTCAGAGAAATGTGTGAAAAGAAATAAACCGCCCTCACAGATCCTAGACAGACAGCTGAGGACTCTGACCATTGTTTTTTTTAAATATCTTCCAGAAAATATTACTGATGGTTGTATTGCCAAAGAAAGAGACAGTTTTAAATGGATGGATTATGAAAAATACTTTTCTGCACCTATTGTACACATGTTTAGTGCTATGGCAAACAAGAGCACCTAGAGGAAACCTACACAGACACGGGTAAACATGCAAACTTCACACAGAAAGATGAGACTACAGAGTCATATGAGCAAAAATCATAATTTTTTTTAAACAAATTACAATTGCCGTTGCAGAAACTAAAATCAGAAGTGATATAGAAACTGCATAGAGCTGCTTAGAAAACTGACCTGTAATCTGATTTAAATTGTAAAATCAAGCTAACCGGATCATTATAAAGAGCACAATCTTGCAACTTCAACTTATATTTATTGCCTTACGTTGGACAATTTAAGACAAAGCGAGATAGTTATTTTTCTTCTCTACTGAAACATGACTTATCATATGTCGCATAATGGTAGAACGGTTTTACTACTCTGAATTGAAGCCGCAGATATTTCAATTTGAGCGCACATGCTAGCCTGCCCTCCAGGCCTGGGGTGCCACACTGTGATTTGGAGAGTGCGCTTTGATTTTAGGGCAGCAGGCCGGCCATCAGCTCTTCAAGTGCTGCTGAAGTAGATCAGAGGGCTCCAATCACACTAACACGCATACACCACAGCAGAGGGCGGGACGATTTCAAAGCAGGTCCACACTGTACCATATATACAGAGGAAAGGCTAGTATAGACAGTTATGACACAATGTTAGCGCAAAGCGAGATTCTATCAGATAAAGTGGAATGCAGATTGGAACATGTTTCTTGAATCAAGCATCACAGGAAATTGCTGAGAAATAGAAACAGAATCTTACATTTAGTTTAAAAGTGAACCATATTGACCATTATAATAAAGCAGGACAATTATGATGCATTGCCACTAAATGTAATGATTGCAATAATTTGGTGAGGGGATCAGGGAATCACATATTCTAAAAAGTAGTAGAAATATACAAAGTAATACACAATTATAATGTTAATAGTAGTGAACCAACCTGGAGACCCTTTCCCTTTCAAGTATAGCGCCACAAAATAATTCAAGAATGTAAGACAAAATCTTGAATGATTTGAATCATGTCATATCTACTTTAACTATAAATGTTTTTTGTTGACTAATGCAGGATTGTACAGTATATTGGTATAATATTAGGCATGTGTGTTCTTCATGATTTGCTGTGTGATGTCCGGGTACTTTCTCCTACCACTAAAAATATGTACAAAAGGTAGGATCGTCCAGCTCTGGTCCTGACCAAGCTGAGCAACAACATCTGGATATAGTGACAGACTCCTGACAGAGACCCTTGCAACACTCACAGATGGGTCTAATGCAGATCACAAATGTCCCCATGGAGACAATAAATTATAACTTCAAATCAATTTTTCCCCGTTTTGTAAAAGTATATCTCAGATCAAATAAGGTTGACCCCTGCTGTATAAGTGTCAGTGCTATGTAGTAGACACACACACAAAAAATCAGCAAATGGTAACCCATTTCCAAATGCAAATCATTATTTGCCATAATAACTTAAACGTGTATACAGCTCATTGGCATTCCTGCCCAATCCTTAAAACACATTTACTCTGGTCGTTTTCAGCGTCTTCAAAACCTCTGGGGGAATTCTGCACTCCGTTTACTTTAGCCCTATTCATTAAATCTTTCCTCACTGTGAACAAGCTATATTTTCAACTCGTCGCTCCGAAGGCGAGAGCGTAAACACTGGTGTGTGTGTGTTCGAGACTGTCCAGCGGCTGACCAGTGCCGCTTTTACAAATTGATGTTGAAGACCAAAACTTTGATGTTGAGTTGTCTGGTTTTCCCCAGGGATCCAAGTGTAAAGACAGAAAAAGGCAGATCAGCCAAAACAATAAAACCGCAGGAGAGTGAGAATCATTTTGTATAAGTATGCACATACAGTGGGGTAAAAACTTTAGTCTCCCACTAAAACTGTCTCTTTAATTTGTAATTATGCTTCTGCCTGACATCAAGACCAATGAAATTTGCAAGTTAAAACTTGATAAAAATTCAAGTGAGTTTTTGCTTAAATTTAATCAATTTTTTTGTTGAAAAGAGCTTGCGACCACACACAGTGATTTCTTATGAATTGCTCCCTATAGAGAAACTAGTACAACTGGGAAAGTATAATATAGGTTTGGGTGCCACATAATCCTTAATGAATTTATTTATTGGACAGGGAGTGTGCATTCAAGTATAGCCACAAACAATTTACTGCTGTATATGCAAAAATGTCCTCATAATGACAGCGTTTGTGCACCTGGCTGTGACTTTGATGCAGAACAACGTGTGATAAAAGAGGAGAGGATGGATGAGTGGTTTGCTCAAAGACTGCTCTGTTCTTAGACATCTTGGCCTCGTGTTCATGTTTCGCACTTGATGTCACGTCTTCAAACCAGCAGGCCACACAATTATACACTCGCACATCTCCAGCCTCCTTTCAGCTGCGGACACGCTACAACTGATGAGTAAACCAGCTCTCTCCACAGACAAGTCATTTTCCAGACTTGTGAAAGGCAAAAAATATCTCTCTAAAATACACAAGCACAGAAAGCAACCTGTAAGCCAACATTTTAATCTTAGTTTTGACCTACAGTAATGTCTACAATTTCAGAACCAAGCTGCATGACGTAAAACTCCTTTGTCAGCACATGTCAACTGTGGTCTAATTAATTTTTCTCATAAAGCTTGGTGAGAACTGGTGACAGTATTCAAAAAACCTGCATGATGTTGTTCAGTAGAAAGTACTCATAGCCTCAGGCCTATACTTACAAGTGATGTGCATTTCATTAAGGCAAGACCCAACGAATTTCCTTTGGTCTACGTTCCACATTGTTATTATAGTTCATTTTAAGTCAAACAGCATCAATGTTGTGCTTTTTTTCAGTCGTTAAAAAAGCATTTGCAAAACTATAATTTGTACGGTAGATACTATAGGAAATAAATTCATTATATAGATGTCACAGAGTCAATGTGCACTTGCAGGCACACACACCACATGCAAAAAAAAACAAATTGGAGGATGGATTCTAACCGGTTGGTATGAAATTGCCTCCGCACACAGTCTTGTCCCGCACACGTCCAGAGGCTAATCAAATGCACAGTTAGACAGATGCCGCTTGTTCCACTTTACTGCACAAATATTATATACTACAAATGTGTGGAAGGAAGTTTATAAGAGTAAATATAACTGAATTGTGCAGAGAAGCTATTGCAAGCCACTCTGCCTGAAGTCGTTTCGTCGCAAAAACAAAATGGAAAGACCAATTCCCCAAGGTTTTACACAATGTTTGCAGTACCCTAACTGGCCCTAATGTTTGCATTCTGCATTCCTTAGCATTAACCCTAATAAACAATGCTTTCACACAGTTCTTGCTCATTAGGACAACATAAAGGTTTTCTTTTTCCATTGTCTAATGCATTTTAATGAGGAATAATGCATATGCTTGCAACCATGTACTCCAGGCTTCAAACATACAAAGATTTAATTGTATTTTGAGGGCATAAACAGATCTGGGATAACATCATGACCATTGACAAGTTAGGTGACACATAATTATTTTTCAGGATCTATTTAGAGCTGCACTGAATGTGTCTTACGATGCATTATTCATTTAAGGCATTATGAATTTTAAATCACTTCCCAGAGCCTAACATTATTTAACCATAATCAACTCAATCTATACCAGAGATAAATGTTATGCATTATTATTATTTTGGCCAAAAAAAATATGTCATGGTTGTACAATGACATCATACAATTACAAAAACTCTATAAAAACAACTCCAGGTTTGTTATTGAGAAAACAATGTCGTTGTGAGAAAACCTTACAAAGAATAGATTTCTCATAAAATGTTTC